CCTGGAAAGTCACAGATTACATATTAGGCTCCGTTTATTTTTATTTTTTATTTATTTATTTATTTTTTTGAGGCAGTGCTACTTTAGAAACAACTACAGATTTTAGGAACAATTTCTCTTCTGAGCTCCATCTTCATTGCTTCTCTACCCTATTCCCTGAATTTTGATCTTGGTCTCTTCTACTTAGTCTTCCATACTCTGGCTGGCTTCTGTTTGCTGCACTGCCATACTGATTGTGCATCCATGCATTTGTAGGGAACAGATTTCCTTTACTCAGATATCACAGTGCTGAGCTGCTCACTCCCCAGTGTTTTAAAGGTATAGTCTTATATATTTGATTGTTTCTTGAGAAGTTCAGTTGGAAAACATGTCTGCTTCCAGTTACTTCATTGTGACTGATAGCTAAGGCCTGAGTAGTTAGATGCCAATCTGAGCTGATCCTCTTTTGAATTCACACCATTACGGCTAAACCTGTTTTGATTACAAATGAAATTTATGATTGAACAAATGTGTACTTTACAAGTGATCTTAGCCAAAAGGCTGAGAAGCGATAACAAATGTGTACTTTTTATTGTGTATATTGTTTATTATGTCATTTTATTCATTTTTACACTTTTATTAATTTGAATTAACTTTAGAGCTGTTTGTTTTTATATAGAAACCTGTTTTATTTGGCACTGCTAATGCTTAGGACAGAGGTAGCCAATGAAATTTTCATAATTTTCCAATATGTGACAATTCCAGGAGCTTGAAGTACCATTTATTGAAATGGTCATTTTATTTAACCATTCTTATTAAATTAGGAAAATTAGGAGCTGGGTAATTTGTAACATATATGAAACACAATATTCAACATTTAGCTATCTTTGAAATGATGGTACCTTCCAAGATGTCATATCTTCAGACTAATCCACCCTTTAAAAAAAAAATTTTTTTTTTTGAGATAGGAAAAAGAATTGTGTTTTTCCTGCTTTTACTCTCACCTTTCACTGTGTAGTGTATCACCTCTGTCACCAAAATGACTGCACATTTTTGCTCACACCCCAAACATGTCTGCAGTGGAAAGCAGTTGGTGGTTCTCTAGTTCAATTTAGTCCCAGTATTACCTCCTGCAGATAACATCGGGTTCCACAGGTTATTGACTGTCTCACAAAACTGATTCTCTCCAGATGTTAGTTGCAAGCCCCTAGTTATGATCTGTACTTCTAACCAACTAACTGGCCACGTATCAAGGGTTCCTACAACTCTCTTCTTGGTTTTGCTTAATTTGCTAGACCAACTTATAGAACTCAGGTAAACACTTAACTTAGATTTATCCGTCTATTCTACAGGTTGAATATTTCTTATCTGAACTTCTTGGGATCCAGAAGTGTTTTGGTTTTAAAATTTTTGCTTATCACATAAAATAAGATATGGAATTTTCTATTTGTGAGGTCATGTTGGTGCTCACAATATTTCTGATTTTAGAAAGGATCTTGTAAAGAATATTACCAAGAATACAGATGTATAGCCATCTGGAAGAGATAGGGCAAGTTTTGTGGGAAGGAGTGCAGAATCCTCTCTGGATGGACTACTTTCCAGGCATCCCGTATGTATTCTGCAGTTTGAAAGCTCTCCAAATCCTGGCCTTGGGTTTTTATGAGATTTCATTAATTCGACACGTTGATTACGTCTCTGGCCATTGGTGATCAGTACAACATCTAGCCCCTCTCCATATCTAGAGGTTGTGGGCTAGGACTGAGTCCCAACCTAACCATGCCTTGGTCTCTTTGGTGACCAGTGCACATCCTGAAGGTACCTAGGTGCTCCTAATTACAAGTCACCTGATTAGCATATAAAAGACATATTATTACTCCAGAGATTTCAAGGAGTGAAATTTTGGGAGCTGTGCATTAGGAACCAGGGATAGAAACCATCTGTCTGTCAATAGATATAGATTTATTTCTTAGGTTATCACACTGTCATGCCTATCCGTGTGATTTGTGTAATATTGTCTTATATAACTTTTATTTGTGGTAATTGTGAAACTTAAAATATATTTTTAAAAGTTTTGAAGTTATTACTATTTATGATTATTTTTGTTCATAGCAGGTATTTGTCATAATGTCTGTCCTCTAATAAGTATTGATATACAGTATATCTGAGACTAAGATTTGCTTTGCTATCTTTTGAATCTATTGCTATAGTATGTATTAATTTTTTTTGCCTGTTTAAGATGTTCAACATGGTCTGGGGATTGGATTTAAAATAATTCCTGGGTTTTAGTCCTAGCTTTACCACTTTGCTAGTAACATGACTTGGGAAGTTGCTTCTTTATTTCAGTTTCCCCTTGAGGATAGTAATGGGATAATAATGAGGTTGCTTTGGCCTTGAATCAGTTAATGTATGTAAAGGAATTAGTATACTGATTTATCATCTGATAGTACCGAAATGTTACTGCTGCTGTGGCAGTTGTTATTGCATTAGGTCTTCCCTGGATGCATTTTCTATAATTTTAATTCCCTCTCTCTAATAGTATCTTCTTCCCTTTTTTATTAGTATTTTTTATTAAGAACCTTTCATTACCTGATTATACATAACGTACATTCCTAATTCGCCTTTTGTTATAGTTCTCCCCTACTAGAATGTAAGCTCCATGAGGCCAGTTGCTGGGGTAGGGATTTATTCCTGGCACCTAGAAGAGTGCCTGGAATACATTGTATTTTCCATAAACTTACTATGAATGAATTAAATATTGAATTATATGCCAGATGTTGACTAGATATTGATGATATAAAAAGCAAAATGTGAAGATCAGTTTTTGAAACAGTGTATAGATAGAATAACAGTAGGCTCATACTTGAAAAACTAATAATTTTGCCCTCTGGAAATAATGATTGTAAATATATTCTGGGAGTGGTCTTACAAAAGGTGTTCTTGAACTGAACATCCGATTTATGTAGGAAACAAAGAGAAAGGTTTTTTGCAGGCAGAAGTAAAAAAATCAAACTTACAGCGTTAGTTTGGGCACCAACTTGTAATACAGGTTAATGACAATGTAGATAATGGGTTTCAGAGGGATAGGGGGTGGCACTTACAGATGTCTAGGTTGTTTTGCTTTTGATTAGATGAAGCAGTGAGATTTGGAGTTTCGGTTGTATGAAAGTTTATGATAATTGGTTATCAAATAATTTTAGTTTTGAATTATTTTAATGAAAGTGAGTGTTGCATTATAGATTATTATAAAAGAACTATGAAAACTTGGTTTTTGATGTTGCCCCTTAGGAACCACAGTATTTGAGAACTATGTATAAAACATAACTAATTGTCTTACTTTTCTTGTGGCTGAGATGTAATACTTGATACCCACAAATTAAAAGAGGAAAAATTAATTTCAGATCACAGTTTGTAGAAATTTCATTCCATAGTTGGCTGGCTCCAAGGCAGGGTGGCATGGCAGGCATGAAGCAGCAAGCAGCAGCAGTATGGCTGCCTTCTTTCTGTCCCTTTATATTCCATCCAGGCTACAAGCCTACTGATCGGTACCACCCTTACCCAGGGTGGGCCTTCCGATATGTACACCTTTGATCCCAGTATCACACCCTTAATTCACATGCACACAACCTAATCTAGCCACTTTCACAACTCCCATCTATAACCCCATGAGGCTTTGGAGGAACATCTAGGTACAAGGTATAACAGTCATAAATAACTATATTTATAAAATTTTGACATAAAAATATGTGGCATGTTATGTAAACATGAAATTTGCATTTAATCAGTTCCTTGACATGGGAAATATTGTCAAACTTTAATCTCTACTGTGGCACACAAAGCTAAGAGATACTAAAACAGTTTTATTTAGAGGATCCATGAGAAATAGTATCACTTTGGATTGCAGCATTTCAGAAATTGATAATACAACTAAAATTTGAGGAGCTTTTACATTTTCTGCATTTCAGTACAATTACAGTTGAAATTGGCTTTTTAAAGCAAACTCCTTTTACTTTTGCAGAAAGAGGGATTGTTTGTGTCTATTAAAGTTAGAGCTTTTTAATACTTAATTTGTTGATATAAAAATATTTGGCAGTTTGTTTGTGTTTTTTTCTCCCTGTAGAGGAGGTGTTCCTTTCCAAATACAGTAGAAACAAAATCATGATATCATCAATCAGTCAAACTGCTGAATCAGATTCTTAACATTAGTGTTTCTGTTGAGAAATTATCCATTTTCATCTGATAAGCAAATTTACCTAGGGATTGGCTGAATTAACTCAGTCATGCAATTCTACATTCTGTATTCATATCATAAAATTGACTTTGGCCCTTTGAGGGTAGGAGAGGGGTATCTTTTACCATCTTTCCCTTTTTTTACTCAAATGCCATGTTACTATATTCAAGCAAAAATGTAGCATGGCTGGATTATTCTTAATGCGCTTAATGCATTGGATAGTGTTCTCCAGTGTTCTTTTATTGAGCTGAATTATTTACTGTGATTAGTTTTCTATTCATTTTTGTTATACATTTTTGTTTTACTTTCTTGTTCTCCTTAAAGGGTAGCTAGTGAAATGTACAAGTGTACACATTGTATTGGAATACAGACATTTTTACTCAGTGATAGTTTTCTAAATGAAAACAGTACAATGAACATTTCCAACTAGTTTAATTTTTTTATTGTAACTAGTAAGTTCAATAGGCTGTACATCCTGCATATAAATAGAAATATATGATGTAGAGGGTAAGAAAATGGGACTTAGGAAATCAGTTTTTTAATCTGCAGTGCAAATAATGTTACTGAACATTTGAATAATACTTCCTAAGATTAGTGACATTAAAAACAATCAGCTGGCTAATTTTTTATTAGTCAAATTAAGCAAATGACTTTTACATATTTAATTTTCTGTGTTTCAGCAAATGTGGTATCTACTGGGAATGGTGGTGTTGAGTGCTAGAATTTTGTAATGATAAGTATAGAGACAATATAGAGTCAAGACAATAACCCATCTCATTTTTTCTTTTTTAAGGAATTGCATTTTATAACAACAGAGAAGATTCTGCAAGGATCATATTTAAAAGTACTATTTGCTGATGCTTCATTTCTAGTAAGACATTTTCCCTTTTTCTGTGTGGTAAAGTAAATAAGAATTTTTTAAAAAATGAAACTTTTTGTGAGCTTGAGTAGCTCTCATTTTAGAGTTTATTTTGAGGATTAATGTATTTCAGTTGAGGAAATTTGTGAAATGCATAATATTGTATAATAGCAATTTTTCCTGCTTTTGCCTTGACACTGCTAAGATAATTCCAAAAATTTTCATCTTTCATATTCTATATTAATTTCTTTACTTGAAAAAAGAAAAATGAAAAGTAGACCATATTTATTGTGACAAATAGTAAGAAAGAAGGTTAGAAGACATAAATTAATATGATTTATGGAAAGATTTTCAAGTGGATGATGAAGTGGACAAATTAGCCATATCTCAGAAGAGATGGGAAGGATCAAAGAGAAGAAGAAGCACTTTTAAGAGGCTCTTTTAAAAATGTGGACTTTTTAGAAGAGTGGTTGTGTTGCCTTAATTCTTGAGCCAATATTTACATTGAACTGGAGTAGATAATTTTGATTAAAAGATTACATTGGCCTAGTTTAATCTTTACAGTGTTCAGTTAAGTTGTGCAGTCTTCAGAAGCTTCATGAGTAAAAACCTTTAAAGTTCACCTTCTGTTTATAGTGAAAAATAATTTAATACTAGGTATTTTAAAAATAAGTAATCATGAAATATGAGTAGGGGAGATACTCTTCAATGAGTTAAAAATTGTTACCAGTACTCTAAATATTAGATGTCATTGAACCTCATGATTATGTCAGTAAAAAACTTGTGAAAGGTATTTAAAAAATATTTTGGGGGAGTGGGCTGGGTATCGTGGCGCTGGCCTATAATCTCAGCACTTGAGAGGTTAAGGCAAGGGCATTGCCATAAGTTCTAGGCCAACCTGGGCTACACAGTGAGTTCAGGGCCAGCCTGATTCAAAAAACAAAATAAGCAACCCCCCCATATTTTTTGTCATTTCAAGAATATTTTTGTTATTTTACAGCATTTGTTTTTTTGATTAAATGGTAGAAATTATTTCTCATGACCTTACAAAAAGTTATTTAAAATTATAGTGTGATAGCAATTTCATACAGCTATTTTTTAAATTGAGTTTATTGGTACAATCTAGGTATACAATACAGTTACATTCATTATTGGGATCCTGTACCTTTACATGATAAATCTTGATTCTCATTTTTTCCCCTTGTCCCTGCCCTCCCTTCACCCCCTCCTCACCTCCCCATTTACAAACACTTTATTTCCATTTTTTCAATTTCTCATATTTTTTTCCTCTCCCTTATTACCTTTCCCCCACCCTTCCCACTTTCCCTACACCTTTAGCCCTTCGTATTTCACATTATTAATTATCTCATTAGGATCCTGTGTATTATTATAGTTTTTCACACCAGAGAAACTATTTGGTATTTCAATTAAAGAAATCTCTGTATGAACATTAAAAATAGGGAATCCTAAAATAAAACTAAAAAGGAAAGTAAAAGAGAAAAGGCAGTGATGTAAGATTAAAATAATCAAAACATAGCTGCTGAATTCTGAAGATGAAAATGGTCCCTGAACATATTTAAATTGCTTCTTGCTCTTGTAGTCTTATCTTATTCTTTTTTTTCATTCTTTAGAGAATATTAGTTTCTGTAATCAAACCCATGTAGATATGACCTTTAATACAGTGCATTACCCCTGTACAAATGGAAAGAAAAATAAATAAATAAATTAACATTTCTAGACCAATATGGCTGTCCATTTCTGTACAATGCCAACTCAACACAGTAAGTTGGGATAACTTTTTCCAAAGTTGAGAGCACCATTAAAGTTTCCAAAAATTCAAGTTTTATATATATATACATATATATATAAATGTATGTATATGTATATATATAGTTATATAAAAAGACCAATAATCATACGGCTATTTTTTGTCTGTTTGTTTTTTTGGGTTTTTTTCTTTTTGGTACCAGTTGTTTTTTTGTTTTTTGTTTTTTGTTTTTTGGTACCAAGGATTGAACTCGGGTCCTTGTGCTTGCGAGGCAGGCAGCATAACCATTGAGCTAAATCCCCAGCCCTCATATAGCTATTTATAATTTTCTTATTATAATATAACTGAAGAACAGTCCATTTAATTGTATCTGTTAGTTTAGGAAATGAGAGAAAGGATTGTTTTTTCCAATTAAAGCAGTGTCTGTCCAACAGTTTAAAACTTGTATATATACAAGGGGGATAGAATGATGAAGTTTAATTCTTGTGTTGGTTGGTCTTTGGTAAGTCCCTGGTGTTTTTTTCCCCTTATCATTATTTATAGACCTCGTGTATTTTATTTTGAGTGATTTGAGTTGTTAAAATACTGTTTAAATTTAGCCGGTTTTGTGTGTTTAGCTCAGAACTCTGTACCTTCTCTGAATCTCAGTGATGGATGGGGTCCTAAATTCAGCAGTTATGTTTTGAGTCATGTTTAAATTCTAGAGACTCCTCTGTGCTGCTTCTTTCAGTAGGCTCTTGGGTGTAGACAGTTTTATTTTTTCATGGCAGACTTTCTGTGGCTCTGTGGCTTATTCTTGAATTAATAGCTACTTTCTTAGGAGTTACTCAAGTACAGTATTTTATAAATGGGAAATGTTCTTTCCTTTTAAAGAGATTCATATGTTGGCTGGAGACCTCAGCTTAAGGATTTTCTCTGTATTCTGTACTAATTGAAAGTAGAAATGGGAGTTCTGTCACAGAAAATGAGCAAACTTTTTCTTCTTTTCCCTTTATATCTTTGAACTACTTTGGACAATTATATTTAGATTGATAATCCATTTCTGAGTTACTTTTTGTATATGAGGTTAAATTTAGGGCTTATTTCTTTAAACATGGACATCAGATTGTTTGCATGTTTTTTTAAAAGACTATATAGTATTTCTCCCTGTTGAATTCTTGTGGCACCATTTGATCATGATGTGTAGGTCTATTTCTGGACTTTGTTCTGTTCTGTTGCTCTCTGTATCCTTACAAAAGTGCTGTGCTGATTTGTTGTCTAGCTTTATAGTAAGTCTTAAAATCAGATAATATAAATCTTTACCTTTGTTCTTTGGTTTTAAAGTTGTTTTCTTTATTCTAGGTAGGTCCTTTCCATCTCTATGTAACTTAGAATTTGTGTGTTGATTTCTACAAAAATGTCTATTGAGATTTTCATTATGCTTTTACCTTAGGGATCAATTTGAGGAGAATTGACTTGTTAAAAGAATAGCGAATCTTCCATTGTATAAACTGGTATCTCTCTCCATTTAAAACTTTGCTTTTTCCTAGCAGTGTTTTATGGTTTTCAGTGTAAAGGTCATACACATATTTCATTAAATGTACCTCTAATTGTTTTATATTTTATGTTATAATAAATTATAATCTTTAAAATATGTTTCCACTTGTTGCTAGTATACAGAAATACAGTTAATTCTTATATAAAACTTAGTAGTTTGTGACTGTGTTGACCAGTTTTTAGTCTAGTGAGCCTTTTTGAAGATTCCTTCAGATATTCTCTGTAGCTCATCTTTATGAGTAAAGACTATATTATGTCCTTTTTTTTTTGTACCGGGGACCGAACTCAGGTCCTTATGCTTGCAAAGCAGGTGGCGGAACCACTGAGCTAAATCCCCGGCTGTTCTCTTTTTAAATGGCTGTTAGAATTTAAAACTTTTTTTTCTTGTGTCTACTGAGATTTTTTTTTTTGTTTAGTTTGTTAATATGATCAGTTACATTGCTTTTTGGAATGTTGATCCAACTAATCATGTATAGAGTCTCTAAGACAACCCCTACTTGGTTCTACTGTGTTACTTTATACTGAATGCTGCTGAATTCACTTTCTAAGATTTGTTGATTTTTCTCCTTTATCTTTATAGAAGGCATTGGTTTGTAGTTTCCTGTAATGTTTTTGTATTAGGGTAATGCCAGCCTGTACTACAAAGTGTGACCGTGTCACAACCACCCCCCCAAAAAATTCTTACGGGTTTTTAATAGAGCCTTTCTGAGGCTTTAGTTTGTATTTCCCAGATGACTAATAACGTTAACTACTTTCTTTCATATTTCCTAAATATCTAGATTTCTTTTATGAAGTATCTTATGTCCTGCTGATTTGTCCACTGTATTATAACTCTGTCACATTGATTTGTACAGATACTCTGAATCTTTTCATACATGCCTTTTGTCCATTAGTATGTTCACAATAGGGCTGTAACTTTGTTAATTCTCACTACTGGCAGCTCTGAACCACTGGTGTTACATGTATGACTGTCCCTTCATGCAGAATGGGCAAAGTTCCATGGAGTGGGAAGTCATGCATGTACTTCCAGTGGTTCAAGCCAGCAGGAGCATGTGAAAATATTTTCTCTGTTCTGGTTTGACTCTGTATCTTAATGATGATTTTGCAAAAACAGAATGTCTTTAAAGATGTCAAACATCAATTTTCCTATATTGAACATTGATTTCTTGTTGAGAAATATGGCTAGCTGAGCTTGATGGCACATGCTATAATCCCAGCACTCTGGGAGGCTGAGAGGCAGGAGGATCCCAAGTTCCACCCTAGCCTAAGCAACATAGCAACTTATTGAGATCATGTCTCAAAATTTAAAAAGGCCAAGATGGTAGCTCAGTGTAACGGCCCTGGATTCAATCCCCAGTAGCACTCCCTCCCACACTTATTTTTGTATGTGTCCAAAGATCATAAGCATATTCTGTATTGGCTTCAAACAGTTTTATAGTTTTGCCTTTCATGTTAAAAAATATCAATCAGTCTTTTGCATATAGTATGGAACATGTGAACTCACTGTGTATCCCAGGCTGGCCTTGAACTCACTGTACTCCTCTTGCCTCAGTCTCCTAAATTCTGGGATTTAGGTATGTGCCATCATGTCCTGTGAGAAAATTATGTTATGGGAACTCAGTAAGCAGTGCTGGAATGTGGGTTATTACAGACATGTTAGGAAACAGTTTGAAATTTGCATACCCTATAACCCAGTAATACTTTCATA